GTGAGTGTGATGGTGTGATGGTGAGTGTGATGGTGAGTGTGATGGTGAGTGTGATGGTGAGTGTGATGGTGAGTGTGATGGTGAGTGTGATGGTGTGATGGTGAGTGTGATGGTGAGTGTGATGGTGTGATGGTGAGTGTGATGGTGAGTGTGATGGTGAGTATGATGGTGTGATGGTGAGTGTGATGGTGTGATGGTGAGTGTGATGGTGAGTGTGATGGTGAGTGTGATGGTGAGTGTGATGGTGAGTGTGATGGTGTGATGGTGAGTGTGATGGTGAGTGTGATGGTGTGATGGTGAGTGTGATGGTGAGTGTGATGGTGAGTATGATGGTGTGATGGTGAGTGTGATGGTGTGATGGTGAGTGTGATGGTGAGTGTGATGGTGAGTGTGATGGTGTGATGGTGAGTGTGATGGTGAGTGTGATGGTGAGTATGATGGTGAGTGTGATGGTGAGTGAGTGTGATGGTGAGTGTGATGGTGAGATGGTGAGTGTGATGGTGAGTGTGATGGTGAGTGTGACGGTGAGATGGTGAGTGTGATGGTGAGTGTGATGGTGAGGGTGATGGTGAGGGTGATGGTGAGGGTGATGGTGAGGGTGATGGTGAGTGTGATGGTGTGATGGTGAGTGTGATGGTGAGTGTGATGGTGAGTGTGATGGTGAGTGTGATGGTGAGTGTGATGGTGTGATGGTGAGTGTGATGGTGAGTGTGATGGTGAGTGTGATGGTGAGTGTGATGGTGTGATGGTGAGTGTGATGGTGAGTGTGATGGTGAGTATGATGGTGTGATGGTGAGTGTGATGGTGAGTGTGATGGTGAGTGTGATGGTGTGATGGTGAGTGTGATGGTGAGTGTGATGGTGAGTATGATGGTGAGTGTGATGGTGAGTGAGTGTGATGGTGAGTGTGATGGTGAGTGTGATGGTGAGTGTGATGGTGAGTGTGATGGTGAGATGGTGAGTGTGATGGTGAGTGTGATGGTGAGTGTGACGGTGAGTGTGATGGTGAGTGTGATGGTGAGTGTGATGGTGAGTATGATGGTGAGGGTGATGGTGAGGGTGATGGTGAGGGTGATGGTGAGGGTGATGGTGAGTGTGATGGTGTGATGGTGAGTGTGATGGTGAGTGTGATGGTGAGTGTGATGGTGAGTGTGATGGTGTGATGGTGAGTGTGATGGTGAGTGTGATGGTGAGTGTGATGGTGAGTGTGATGGTGTGATGGTGAGTGTGATGGTGAGTGTGATGGTGAGTATGATGGTGTGATGGTGAGTGTGATGGTGTGATGGTGAGTGTGATGGTGAGTGTGATGGTGAGTGTGATGGTGTGATGGTGAGTGTGATGGTGAGTGTGATGGTGAGTATGATGGTGAGTGTGATGGTGAGTGAGTGTGATGGTGAGTTTGATGGTGAGTGTGATGGTGAGTGTGATGGTGAGATGGTGAGTGTGATGGTGAGTGTGATGGTGAGTGTGACGGTGAGATGGTGAGTGTGATGGTGAGTGTGATGGTGAGTGTGATGGTGAGTATGATGGTGAGTGTGATGGTGAGGGTGATGGTGAGGGTGACGGTGAGTGTGATGGTGAGTGTGATGGTGAGTGTGATGGTGTGATGGTGAGTGTGATGGTGAGTGTGATGGTGAGTGTGATGGTGAATGTGATGGTGAGTGTGATGGTGAGTGTGATGGTGAGTGTGATGGTGAGGGTGATGGTGAGGGTGATGGTGAGGGTGATGGTGAGTGTGATGGTGTGATGGTGAGTGTGATGGTGAGTGTGATGGTGAGTGTGATGGTGAGTGTGATGGTGAGTGTGATGGTGTGATGGTGAGTGTGATGGTGAGTGTGATGGTGAGTGTGATGGTGAGTGTGATGGTGTGATGGTGAGTGTGATGGTGAGTGTGATGGTGAGTATGATGGTGTGATGGTGAGTGTGATGGTGAGTGTGATGGTGAGTGTGATGGTGTGATGGTGAGTGTGATGGTGAGTGTGATGGTGAGTATGATGGTGAGTGTGATGGTGAGTGAGTGTGATGGTGAGTGTGATGGTGAGTGTGATGGTGAGTGTGATGGTGAGTGTGATGGTGAGATGGTGAGTGTGATGGTGAGTGTGATGGTGAGTGTGACGGTGAGTGTGATGGTGAGTGTGATGGTGAGTGTGATGGTGAGTATGATGGTGAGGGTGATGGTGAGGGTGATGGTGAGGGTGATGGTGAGGGTGATGGTGAGTGTGATGGTGTGATGGTGAGTGTGATGGTGAGTGTGATGGTGAGTGTGATGGTGAGTGTGATGGTGTGATGGTGAGTGTGATGGTGAGTGTGATGGTGAGTGTGATGGTGAGTGTGATGGTGTGATGGTGAGTGTGATGGTGAGTGTGATGGTGAGTATGATGGTGTGATGGTGAGTGTGATGGTGTGATGGTGAGTGTGATGGTGAGTGTGATGGTGAGTGTGATGGTGTGATGGTGAGTGTGATGGTGAGTGTGATGGTGAGTATGATGGTGAGTGTGATGGTGAGTGAGTGTGATGGTGAGTTTGATGGTGAGTGTGATGGTGAGTGTGATGGTGAGATGGTGAGTGTGATGGTGAGTGTGATGGTGAGTGTGACGGTGAGATGGTGAGTGTGATGGTGAGTGTGATGGTGAGTGTGATGGTGAGTATGATGGTGAGTGTGATGGTGAGGGTGATGGTGAGGGTGACGGTGAGTGTGATGGTGAGTGTGATGGTGAGTGTGATGGTGTGATGGTGAGTGTGATGGTGAGTGTGATGGTGAGTGTGATGGTGAATGTGATGGTGAGTGTGATGGTGAGTGTGATGGTGAGTGTGATGGTGAGTGTGATGGTGAGTGTGATGGTGAGTGTGATGGTGTGATGGTGATGGTGAGTGTGATGGTGTGATGGTGAGATGGTGAGTGTGACGGTGAGTGTGATGGTGAGTGTGATGGTGAGTGTGACGGTGAGTGTGATGGTGAGTGTGATGGTGAGTGTGATGGTGAGTGTGGTGGTGAGTGTGATGGTGAGTGTGATGGTGAGATGGTGAGTATGATGGTGAGATGGTGAGTGTGATGGTGAGTGTGATGGTGAGTGTGATGGTGAGTATGATGGTGAGTGTGATGGTGAGTGTGATGGTGAGTGTGATGGTGAGTGTGATGGTGAGTGTGATGGTGAGATGGTGAGTATGATGGTGAGATGGTGAGTGTGATGGTGAGTGTGATGGTGAGTGTGATGGTGAGTGTGATGGTGAGTGTGATGGTGAGTGTGATGGTGAGTGTGATGGTGAGCGTGACGGTGAGCGTGACGGTGAGTGTGATGGTGAGTGTGATGGTGAGTGTGATGGTGAGTGTGATGGTGAGTGTGATGGTGAGTATGATGGTGAGTGTGATGGTGAGATGGTGAGTGTGATGGTGAGTGTGATGGTGAGTGTGATGGTGAGTGTGACGGTGAGTGACACGGTGAGTGTGACGGTGAGTATGATGGTGAGTGTGATGGTGAGTATGATGGTGAGTGTGATGGTGAGTATGATGGTGAATGTGATGGTGAGTGTGATGGTGAGTGTGATGGTGTGATGGTGAGTGTGATGGTGAGTGTGATGGTGAGTGTGATGGTGAGATGGTGAGTGTGATGGTGAGTATGATGGTGAGTGTGATGGTGAGTGTGGTGGTGAGTGTGATGGTGAGTGTGATGGTGAGATGGTGAGTATGATGGTGAGTGTGATGGTGAGTGTGATGGTGAGTGTGATGGTGAGTGTGAATGAGTGTGATGGTGAGTGTGATGGTGAGTGTGATGGTGAGTGTGATGGTGAGTGTGACGGTGAGATGGTGAGTGTGATGGTGAGTGTGATGGTGAGTGTGATGGTGAGTGTGATGGTGAGTGTGATGGTGAGTGTGATGGTGAGTGTGATGGTGAGTGTGATGGTGAGTGTGACGGTGAGATGGTGAGTGTGGTGGTGAGTGTGATGGTGAGTGTGATGGTGAGTGTGATGGTGAGTGAGATGGTGA